CGCAGAAACGAAAGAAGGCTCGCAGGAACGCGGGCCCTTCTGAAGAACTGTTCCTGCAACGCTACTCGAGCGCAGAAGGGCTAGGAGGAGGAGAAGGAGGAGGAGGAGGAGGAGGAGGAGGAGGAGGGGGAGGGCTCCCCTCCCCTCCCCTCCCCAGGGGGGGCCCCTCCCCCGCTGGGCTCAGGACGCGCTCTGGGAGTGTTGGGGGTATCTGGCGGCCCGGGCTTCTGCAGCCCGCGTGGGACATGAGGGACGCTGGGGCGTCCTGGAAATCTGGGGAATCCTGGAACTGCGAACTGCGACCTGCGACCTGCGAGAATGCACCGCGAGGGTGCCGCAGGGAGGGGCCGAAGCGCCCAGGTTGAGGTGAAACGTACAGACAATGCGTGGCAACATGATTACAACGAAAATTCTACAAAATCCTGCTCAAGGCTCCTCCATGCACTCGACTGCGCAATGCGTATAAGACTGCGCAATGCGTCACACGGCGCCCCGGCCTCCATCAGAATGTCCTTGTCCGCGTCGTCCCATTTGTTGCCCGGGAGCCCTGGAAATCTGGGGAATCCTGGAGCGCAGCATCACCACGACCTGCCGCACCTCAAAATAAATTCGGCGGCGAAGTCCGAGGCCTGCCCTCGCCGAGCAGCGGCTCGAGCAACTGGATGGGCGGCGGGGGCATGGCTCGGAATGTCGGCCACGCGGCGACATCCGAGCCCTACCCCCACCAACCATCGATTCCACCCAAAACCGACCAGATTAAACACGCTGCGTGTTGATTCACCGCGGGCTGGCCCGCGTTGTGCCGAATGCGCCGCGCCGGACTTACTTATGTTTTTGATATACGTGCTGAGCTCCGCATCGGCAAGCCCACGGGTTGCGTGTTGCGCATCGCCGAAGACAGAGGCCCAGCGCAGGGCCCGCCCATGGTCGCAGACCGCACGCCTCGTGGCGGACACGGGCTGCGCGCCCAAGGAGGGCCGTCCTCGCGCACAACGGCGCCAGCAACGGGGGGGGGGGGGGACGGGCCGACCGGAGGCTCGCCGTCGGGCGAGGCCATGGCCTTCCAAGCGGGTGAGGCCAGCGCGCCCGAGGAAAAGCATTCTCCAGCGCTCTTCGTCCCCTCCAAGGGTGGAGTCTTCAAAGTCCTGGCCAGCGATGTCCTGGCTTCGGGGGCCCCAGTGAGAGGCAGCGGTGCTCCGCGGGCGAAGCATCAAGTCGGACATGTCCCCCTACAGGGGGATGTTCGACGAAAAATAACATATACCCCAGAAATAATCCAAAAATGCTCCAAAAATAGTCTGGTGACTATCTTTTGAAGGTTTTTTTGACTTTTGTTGGGGCATTCGGTGCGCTCTCCGTGGTTGCTGGTGCGCGATGCCTCGGTGCACCGGCCGACGGCCAGCGACGCCTGCCGGCGCAGGAGCTGCCCGCCGCCGAGGCCGCAGCGCGCCGCGCGGCGGAGGGCGCGCCCGAGCGGCCGCGCACAGTGACCTGCGAGGCCCCGAGCAGACACTGCACAGTTTTTTGATCCGCGGGTCGAGGGCGCACCTCTTCCTGTCGAAGCTAAGCGGGCCGCGCACAGCTTCAATGGACAGAGGGGGGAAGGCAGGAGGAGGGGCCTCACGTCAAGGCCAGGAGGGGGCAAAGCCCAGGAATCAGGCGGTGCCGAAGACGATGTGCGTGCAAAGGAACGCCTGGTACAGGAACCTGGCGGCGAAGTACCGGAAGCACAAACAAACCTTGCACAGGCATACAGCTAGAAAAAGTGCGCTGGTAAGACAGCGTAACCGTGGACATCAGGCCGGCACGCCATCCGCTCTCAGCTGCGTGCGCACACGCGCACCTGGGGCCTCTCCGGCCGTCCAGGGCCCCTCTGGGCCGTCTAGGGGTCTCTGGGGCTGCTCGGGGCCCTCTTGGGGCTCAGATTCGGCCGTGGGCCCTCTCAGAGCGGCCCGAGGCGCCCCTGGGCCGTCTTGGAGCTCGCCGACGGAGAGACGTCAGCCCCACGGTTCCTCCACAGCCGCGGCCCCTTCCGGGGACGCTGCCGCGCCGTCACGACACGGGCTCGCCGCCACACGCCTGCCCACCCAGAGATCCGGATCCGGCGCTCCGATGCTTTCGATGCGTGGGCACCGGAACTATTTGAGCAGGGACCGACCGTCCCGGCATTCCTATAGTCCTACCACGACATGTTCTTAGAACCCAAAGATGTTCTACGAACAAAAACAATGTTCTTAGAACATTCGCCCGATGTGTTAAAACAAGACGGCCTCCGCCCAGAAGTGTTCTAAGGACATTTCCTGGAAACCACAACGGGTTCTTAGAACATTGCTTGGTAGGGCTATAGGCGAGCCAGGACGCTTCGCCACTGCTTCAACTATGAACAACTTCCCTGGGGCTGGTCTTTCATTCCAAGTCGTCTTTTGACGGTCCAGGGGCCCGTCGAGGGGCGCCGGGAGGCCGAACACGGCAAGCAAAAGGACCGTTCAAACTTGCCCGGAGCCTCGCATCTCCGGGCAGGGACGGGGCTCCGCAAGCGGAGCCGGCGCGCGGACGGCACTCCGCGCCCTTTCGGGCTTACTCTTGTTTTACGCATCTCTGGCGTCTTGTTCTTTTTCCCCAGCCGCGCGCGCCCTGCTTGATTCGTTACAGTCGAAGCGTTGACCTAAGGAACCCTGAATAAGGAACGAGGCCCCTATTTTCCATGAGTTGAACTTCGATTTCGTATCGAAAACCTAAGGAAAAGCCAAGGCCAGCTGCGAAACAATTAAGGAACGCGGAGCCCCTCCCCAACGAACAGGGTTCCTTCTTCAGGGCCCCGACTGTACGCACTCCGTCAAAGTCGGCCTCTCTTGTGGCGCCTTCCTGCCACCGAGCGCTACAAGCTTGGCACCTGGAGCCCGCTCCACTGCAGAACGCGCGCGCGCGGCCAGTCCTTCACCCCGAGCATCTCGTGGGTGCGCCTCAGGAAGCGCTGCGCTGTCGCCCACTCGCCTCGGATGCCGGCAGGGGGGCTCTGGAGGGGGCCCACGCATCGATCGCCAAGGCGGGGGGTGGGGGGGGGGAAAGGGCCCCTCCTCGGGGCTCTCGACGGGCCGTCTCTCCCCCGCTTCCTCGCGTCGTGCACAAAAGCACGACGGCACCTTTCGTTTCTGTTTTGGGTGCTCTTCCCCCCCCCCCCCAAATTTTACAGCCAGCGGGGGCCATCGCTGGGCCCTGGGAGAGTCAGAAAACATGATCGACCCACGAACCCGGAAAGGAATATAGAAATGTAACGCGTGGCAGCGCTTTCAATGACACCTGATTGGGTGACGGGCAAATGCAATGCTGAGTGTATCGATCTTGATGTACCCTGCCGAGGGCTGTGCTCCGAGTCCTCCTTTGCATCCGAGTCCTGACCGAACTGATCTGGATCTTAAGCTCGAGCTGCCTGAACACATAGTAGCTGCCCCAGAGCTAATTGACAAGGGGACATGCCAGGAGGACGCGCCGCGAAACGTCCCAAGGGGACGCGCAACCGAGCGTGCCAGGGGACGTGCCATGGGGGACGAACGCGAGGGACGGCGGGGGGGTGGGTGTGTGGGGGTATATGGGGTTGGCAAGGGGACACGCGGTGAGCACGGAAGGTGCCAATGGATGTGCCACGGGATGTGCCAAGGGACGCGCCACGCGACGTGTCGGGGGGACTCGCCAAGGGACGCCTCACGGAACGTGCCAAGGAACGTGCCAAGTTGCAATGCTGAGTGTGTCGATCTTGATGTACCGTGCCGAAATCTGTGCTGTGCTGCGCCGTGCTGAATGGCGATGTGCCATGCCGCGATTGTGCTCTATAGCGTTGTGGATCGAGTCCTCCTTTGCATCCGAGTCCTGACCGAACTGATCTGGATCTTAAGCTCGAGCTGCCTGAACACATAGTAGCTGCCCCAGAGCTAATTGACAAGGGGACATGCCAGGAGGACGCGCCGCGAAACGTCTCAAGGGACGCGCCAAGCGACGTGCCAGGGGACGTGCCATGGGGACGCACCGCGGGACGTGCCAAGGGGACGCGCTACGGAACGTGCTGGGGACAAGCGTTTCGCTCGAGACATCCTGTCAACATCCTCATGCTAAACATCCGCCTGAGCGACCTGGACACGTGAAACCAAGCGTTTCGCTCAACACATCCTCAACACATTCTCATGCTAGACATCCGCCTGGGCGAATTGGACATGTGAACACAAGTGGTTCGCTCGAGACATCCCCAACACATCTTCATGTGAGACGTCCGCCTCGGTGACCTGGGCACGTGAAAACAAGCGTTTCGCGTGAGACGTGTTCAACACCTCCTCATTAAAGACATCCGCCTGGGCGACCTGTACACGTGAAAGCAAACGTCTCGCTCGAGACATCCTCAACACATCTTCATGTTAGACACACGCCTGGGCGACCTGGACACGTGAAAACAAGCGTATCTCTCGAGACACTCTCAACACATCCTGATGCTAGGCGTCCGCCTGGGCAACCTGGACACGTGCAAACAAGCATCTCGAGCGAGACTTCCTCAACACGTCATCATGCTATACATCCGCCTGGGCGACGAGGGCGCGTGAAATCAAGCGTCTCGCTCGAGACATCCTCAACAAATCCTGGCGCTAGACCTCTGCCTGGGCAACCTGGAGGCGTGAAACCAAGCGTCTCGCTCGAGACATCCTCAAGACCTGGGCACGTGAAAACAAGCATTTCACTTGAGAGATCCTCTGAATTCTGGCCCCCAGGAGAGGACAATCTATAACACAAAACAAGCGTTTCGCTCGAGACATCCCCAACACATTCTGACAAACAAGTGTTTCGCTCGAGGCATCCTGAAAATTTAATTCGCCAGCCCACCTCGACCTCGATATCTATCGCAAAAGAGACTCGCCAGCCCACCTCAAGTCAAAACCGGGGGTAAACCATCCAATAAGAGAGAACCCTGGGCCTATTCCCTTTCCGGGAAAAAGGGCCAGTCTCGGGGGAGCGGTCGAGACCTCGAGGGATCGACGCCGCGACAGAGGGGAAAATTGTATAGACATAAAACTGCCTCGAAGACGGACATCTTCCCAAAGACTGACAGTTATCCGAAGACTGACAGTTGTTCGAAGACGGGACATTGTATAGACATAGACTGTCTCGAAGACGGACATCTTCTCAAAGACCGACAGTGCTTCGAAGACGGACAAAAATCGGGGCTCCTCGAAGAGGAACAACTGGTATAGGCAGAAGCTGTCCAAGGTCCGTGCGGATTCTTTGGATCGGCGCTGAACCCCACCCCTCCCCGTGCAGCGGCGCCCCCCGGCGCCGCCGCCCCCCAGCGCGCTCCGCGCGCCAGGGAGGGAAGTGGGCGTGGATCCAAGAAATCTGCCCGGACCTCCGAGAGTTCATGCTTATGCAACTTGCTATTCTCCCGCTTCCCCTTTCGAGCCGCAGCCGCCACAGACGGTGTGATACGAGCACCCCGCTTCCGATCCGCTACCTCGAACCGCTCGGCCCGGTCCAACTTCTGTGGCGTCGTGCTCTTCCCTCGGCGGAAGCCCCTGAAACTTTCCACCTCATCCCTGCAACCAGCTTCTCGCCGCGGGCTACAGTCGGGGCGTTGACCTAAGGAACCCAAAATAAGGAACGAGGCCCCTTTTTCCCATCAGTTAAACTTCGATTTCGCATCGAAGACCTAAGGAAAGCCTGAGGCAAGCTGCGAAACACTTAAGGAACGCGGAGCCCCTCCCCAACCAAAAGGGTTCCTTCTTCAGGGCCCCGACTGTATTTGTGATCATCCTCAGAACTTGCGATCGCGCCAAGATGCTTTCGCCCACCGAAGACCCTCCATGCGACGCAAGGCGGTGCAGTGAGGGTCAGCGCAGGCTGCATGCCATCGGCGGAGCCGAGCGGGGTATAAACACATTGTCGGCGGCGAGCTCAGCGGGGGAAAGCAGATGGGGCGGGGTTTCTACGGAGGCCCGGAAGGCCCTGGGCCTTCTGAAAAATGTCCCGAGCCTTCCTCGAAGGCAGGGACTGCTTCTCAGAAAGCCAGACGGCTTCTGAGAAGCGCCGCCGCCTTCTGAGAAGGCCTGCCCCCTCTCACGTAGCCCCGGGCGCGCCCCCGACATTGGGCGAACGCACGCCCTGAGGATCAACGTTTTTCTGTGTGTTGCGTATTTTTTTGTTCTGAAGGCCCTGGGACCAAACAGCGTCCCCCCCCCCGCCGCGCGGATGCGAGCAAAGCGCCCGCGGGCCTAGGCCCCAGCCGTGCGGCTTGGCGGCGCGCCAGGGGGCGGTGGGGCGAGGGGGTGGCCTTCTGAGAGAGACGACGACGACGACGACGACGACGACCACGACGACGACGACGACGACGACGACGACGACGACGACGACGACGACGGCGGCGGCGGCGGCGACGACGACGGCGAAGGCGAGGCATTCCCAGAAGCCCCCACCCCCTCGCGTAGCGAAAAAGAAAGACGACCTTTTTTGAGCCTTTGCTCCTCCATGTTCGGCCCCCAGTGGCCACGACATTTGACATACTTCCCCCACCCGACAGGCTGGAGCTGTACAACTGTTTAACAACAACATGATCGACCCACGAACGCGAAAAGGAATATAGAAATGTAAGGCATGGAGACGTTTCAAAGACACCTGAGTGGGCGACGGGCAAATGCAATGTTCAATGTATCGATCTTGATGTACTGTGCCGAGAGCTGTGCTGTGCTACGCCGTGCTGAACTGCGATGTGCCATGCCGCGATTGTGCTCTATATATAGCGTTGTGGATCGAGTCCTCGTTGCCACCGAGTCCTGACCGAACTGATCTGGATCTTAAGCTCGAGTTGCCTGAGCAGGTGGTGGCTGCCCCAGAGCTAATCGACAGACGTGACATGCCAGGAGGACGCGCCGCGGAACGTCCCAAGGGACGCGCCAGGCGACGTGCCAGGGGACGTGCCATGGGCACGCACCGCGGGACGTGCGAAGGGGGCGCGCTACGGAACGTGCCAATGGACGTGCCGCGGAACGTGCCAGGTGACGCGCCGCGCGACGTGCCAGGTGGACTCGCCACGGAACGCGCCAAGGAGCGTGCCAAAGTGCAATGTTCAATGTATCGATCTTGATGTACCGTGCCGAAGGCTGTGCTGTGCTGGGCCGTGCTGAGCTGCAATGTGCCATGCCGCGATTGTGCTCTCTCTATATATATATAGCGTTGTGGATCGAGTCCTCGTTGCCACCGAGTCCTGACCGAACTGATCTGGATCTTAAGCTCGAGTTGCCTGAGCAGGTGGTAGCTGCCCCAGAGCTAATCGACAGACGTGACATGCCAGGAGGACGCGCCGCGGAACGTCCCAAGGGACGCGCCAAGCGACGTGCCAGGGGACGTGCCATGGGCACGCACCGCAGGACGTGCCAAGGGGACGCGCTACGGAACGTGCCAATGGACGTGCACCGCGCGACGTGCCAAGTGGACTCGCCACGGGACGCTCCGCGGAACGTGCCAGGCAACATGCCAGGCTGCAATGTTAAGGGTGCCGATATTGATGTACTGTGCCGAGAACTGTGCTGTGCCTGAGCGACCTGGACACGTGAAAACACGCGTTTCGGTCAAGACGTTCTCAGCACATCCTCATGCTAGACATCCGCCTGGGCGACCTGGACACGTGAAAACAAGCGTCTCGATCGAGACTTCCTCGACACATCCTCATGCTAGACATCCGCCTGGGCGAACTGGACACGTGAAATCAAGCCTCTCGTTGGAGACATCCTCAACACATCCTCATGCTAGACATCTGTCTGGGCAACCTGGAGGCGTGAAACCAAGCGTCTCGCTCGAGACATCCTCAAGACCTGGGCACGTGAAAACAAGAATTTCACTTGAGAGATCCTCGGAATTCAAGTCCTCGGGAGAGGATAATCTATAACACAAAACAAGCGTTTCGCTCGAGACATCCTCAACACATTCTGAACAACAAGCGTTTCGCTCGAGATATCCTCAAA